TCCATCCATCCATCCATCCATCCATCCATCCATCCATCCATCCATCCATCCATCCATCCATCCATCCATCCATCCATCCATCCATCCATCCATCCATACTCGCATCTTCCTTTCAGAATCATGGGTGCACTGGTGCCCATATCCAGCAGACACAGTGTAAGGGCTACACCCTGGACAGGTCGCAAGTCTATCACAAATAACAATCACAAATATAACAATCCAGACTTTTTGAAAAAGCATTTTCAATTACATGTAATTTTTGCACATAAACTATGATCAGTCTAAGGATCTAGGACTAAGAGGAAGCTCAGTCAAATGCAAAAACACCACAGAAAACCAAAGAGGCTGACCTGGAGTAATCTGAAAAAGTGATTTTAGTTTGTACCAAATACTGCACATTTGGTTTCACGAGTTACAGTCAGTGAGGGGCAAATCTGTTTATAAAATATAGTTTCAAAGTAGGACCAAAGTTATAAGATCTCACAGATAACTCCAGTCTCTCTTGCTGTCTTTCTTATCTTGTCCAGGAAGGGTTATGAAGAGGGAATTGAGCTGGTGAGAGATGGGGTGCACCCTGGAAAGGTCAACAGACTATCACAGGGCCAATACCAGGGTAAATAGTACCCACAGCAAACAACTCACACCTGAGATCAATTTAGAACTGTCAGTTAAACTAAAATAAAGGTTTTTAGACTGTAAGAAGAAACTGAAGTTCCCAGGGAAKAAACAACACAAAAGCTCCAGCTGGGATTTGAACAAGCTCGAGTTTGAGAAAAAAGCAGCGTTTATTCTAATTATGTTGTATTTTGACTTTAGGCTGTTCATATTTATGACTAAAGTAAGTATGTTTTAAATGTTTTAGTAGTTTTCAGTAATTATTTAAACATGTCAAAATAAAGTTTTTTTTTATTACTAACAATATAAAACAGAACAACAAATGATACAACTCTCGTGAAGGGTAATAAAAATAAAACTACAAGCTACATTTTAGGGGGCCAGCTAAAGGATATTACAGAACAACAACTGAGCAAAATAATACAGTGAGAAAGTTAAAACAGTAAATATGTAGATATCTGGTGTGAGATGATCTTGGCTGATTTCCAGTTTTTTTAATGTACTTTAATGAAGAAAAATATACTTTAAATTCATTCATGAAACAGGGGCAGGAGGGCTTGGTATCTCTCCACTTACTACAGTGAATATGATATTTTGCTAAAAGTATAACTACATTTATGACACCAGAGATGGAAGAACTTAAATTATCCACATAAAACAAAATGTCCACATCAAAAGAGGGAATGTTAAGTTTAAGATTTATCCAGTTCCTAATTTCTGACCAAAAGCTTTGTGAATAATGACAGGAGAAAAACAAATGTTCCAAGGATTCATCTTCTGACTTACAAAAAGTACACAAATCCACATCAAATTTAAATCTTCTTTCAATAAACATGGCCACAGGCTATATCAAGTATGTTAAAAAGAGTTTCCTTCACTTTAGGAGATATAGGCCATTTTGTAAATTTGGAATGAGCAAAAGTCATTATGTTTTTTTACAGGTATTAGAAGGTTTCTTGAAGGAATCTGCATTGTAGTCATGGTAAATCTTTTGTCTTATAGTTCCATTAATCATCCTATTGTTGCATTTGTAATCCACCAAGTTACAGTCATTCACCTTTAGTGTGGGCATCAAAGCTGTCACCTTCGCATGTAAAACAACATTTTTGATTAGCTGGATCAATGCGAAGGGGGTTGCTTTACACATCTTCTTAAAATCTTTGTAACAATTAAAATTACATTTTTCAACAAAGGATGGGAAGTCACCATTATCATCTAAAAGATCTGTTACAAAGATAATAGCCTTATCATATACCAATCTTTTAAGAATACTGTCTTCCTACCAACAGCAACAAATTCTTCAGTTTTGGAAGATGGTATTCCAACATAATTTCTCAGCTCACGGATCAACCCTGTGGAATAATAGGACAGTTGCAGTTGGTTTGTCAAAATAAAGGTATTTCATCTAGTATTACGTTTTCTCGGCTGTACGCAGCAGCTGTTACCTAACGTCATGACGTAATTTCCGCTCCACAGTAACTGGGTGCACTTGAGAGGCTTAGCTTAGCTTAGCTTAGCGTTAAACATTATCCGACACACCTTTCCTCTAGCATTTGGTATACGTTTGCTATTATTTTTCGTTGAGCTACAGTGGATGAACTTGGTTTAATGAAGTGGTCGTGACGACAAATTTAAAGTCACGAGCAGACGGAGGATTACCCTCAGCGTGAAGCTAAAGAAGCTAACACGCGCGGCTAAAGAAAGGTTTGTGTATTTCGTTTTTCCAGATGTACAACACACGGGATACTGAGTTACCCCATAGTTTTGTCTTATCTGTGCTGGCAACTGTTCCGTGCCCTCACTTTGTGCAGGATAAAGTTTTCCCCGGCGGAGCKAAGACGCAACCAGCCAGATAAACATGGAGGATGAGGAGGTAGCAGAGAGCTGGGAAGAAGCAGCAGACAGCGGGGTGAGTTTGACACAACACTGCTACACAGCACATTTGTATTATTTAGTTGGTTTTACTTCCATAAAAGCAGCTACCAGATAAATCCTGTTCTGGAAGCATCCAATCTTCGCAGGCCCCACCTTGACTGATATTCTCCAGTTTTCATATTTGGTTTGCATAAACTAAAACAACGACAAGGAATCATGTAACTGCAGCAGGTTAATATGTTTCTAAAAGAGACTAATTTGTTTTGGTTCTTATGTTTTCCTCCACTTTGTCTGCATTCTCATGTTTAAAAGTGGCTAGATTGCTGTACATTTAGTTTCTGCGTTTCTTTACATTTTATTTATCAGGATTCTAAACAACCTTAATGCGGTACTGAGACACCCATTAAACAAGGTTTACATCAAATTTGTTTACAGATGATTACAATAAAAGTACCAAACGTTAAACCATATCAAACAGCTGGTACAATAGGACTTTGGTGCTATAATACAGAATCGTTCACCTACGATTTATCAACAGAGAAAATAACACTAATGCATATTTTGTTATTCATCTTGATCACTGTTTTTATTTGGCTGTGTGGTAGGTTTAACAAGGCCAAAGTCCTGATAACTGAGACAAAACAGAGAACAGTGAACCACATACAGTTGCTAACGCTGCTATTTTCAGGAAATTGAGAGAAGACTTGAGGCGAAGTTGAAAATAAACCAGGAAGCAAAGTAAGTGACAAGCTATGAAATCAAATTTATTTTTGTACTATTTTTTAAAAATATTACTCTATGATTCTGTTCCTATCTTTACAGGAAGTCCAAATTGAAGTCAAGTGTTTCTCCTGTGCGAACTGCCATCGTAATCCAAGATGACTCTCTGCCTGCAGCACCTCCACCTCAGATTCGGATTTTAAAGCGTCCTTCCAATAACGGCGCCGCAGGAAACTCTGCCTCCTCATCTCGTCCCTCGCAGCAAATGAAATCGTTGGCTCAACGGGAGGCAGAATATGCAGAGGCCCGACGAAGGATTTTGGGTAGTGCATCTTCAGAAGAAACGCCTCAGGACAATCCAAGCCAGGATAGGTAAGACTTAAGTCAAACTTGGAGAACAAAGTGCGTAAGGAGTATTAGTTATTTATTATATTTTTCTCCTGTTGGCAGGACTGCTCGTATGAGTGTGCAGCAATCTTTAGACACAGTTCGTCCAGACAATCAGGTAATCCGTCAACCCACRGGCCCGGACGGCACCTCGGGCTTCCGACTCTGCAGATAAACTGGAGCTCTTTGCTGCCAGGAAACCGCTTCCTCCCTGAGAGGGCCGGGACAAGTGGGGAAATTAAAGGGGTTGTGTGTGTGGTTTAGAGAGCCAAGTGGTGAGATGACCTTGGATTTGACTGACCGGAGAAATACGAAGACAAGCATCTTCACCCTCTCTCTACTCTGCTCACTGGTTTGATCTTTGCCTCTAGCCTTGTCTTTTCCTTCAGTGGAACCCTGCCAGAGGCTGGCAGAGATCAAAGATTTGAAACTCTCTTTGTTCTCAGCTTGAACAGGCTTTGGTCGCACCCATCCCCCCATACACTGTGAGACTCGGATGTCCTGTGATATATTCGAGGCGTCAAGTGTTTGCCTCTTCAGGAAAAATAAGAACTTGTTAATCTGTGGGAAACCCTCAGAGTTGTGCAAGCAGAGGAGCTTTTTTTTCCACTGAAGAAGCAAAGGTCATGTCTGGGTGTCCTGAGGGAGAATGGCCTTAGTTTGTTGCTGCGTTCGGAGGCTAAGTACTCCACAGTGCCAAGAAGTGACCGTGTTCAGCAGACTGAGTGCAAGGTTACAGAAAGTTGTGCTGATTGGACCTTTTCTGTGAAAGTGCACTGTGCTGAAAAGTTTTAATACTGCACGGCAGGCTGTGGCTCAGACCAGAACTAGGCCAGCTCACGGGCCTGTTTTCAGCACAGTAGCTATAAAAGAAAGGTCCGGTCCGCACACAGCCTCTGGCCCAAAGCTGTGGTCCAAACGACAGGGTCACTGTCGACATCGAAGGGACATCGAAGTTTTTACAAGCAATAACTCTGAAATTACTTCCTGGGTTGTGTTTTGTTGAAATTATGTTTTAAAATGTTAACGTTGCCATCTTTTTTTTTTTTCATTTTAGTGTACATTTAAATCAAYAGATTGTTAGTGTGTTAAGAAAATTAGGTTGCAATAAGAACATTTCTTTGTAGTGTTGGATTTAATTTGATCAAATTGTCAGAAGTCAAGAACTGGAAACTAAATCTTTTCATGAATAAATCTCTTTGCCTGTGCTGCCCAGCTGACAGTTGATCATACAGTCAGATGTYCTGTATCTGTGCTGTACTTTGGTATACATGTAAATTATACAGAAATGGTTATATCAGGCCCAGTGTAGAGAATGATGTATTTTTGTCAGCGTCAAAGACTTATATGAGAACTTACCTTTAAATCAGCGCTCTTTAAAATGAAACAAACTTTATCTTCCCTGTCTTAATGAATGTCTTCCTGTGATGTTTTTCACACCGCAGGATTTTAAGAGACAAGTTTACAAACTATGAAATGATTAATAAGTTAAGTATTGTGGCGTTACAAATACTGATAATTGGTTTCATTATTAAAAAGGAAAACAAACACAAAGTGTTTGAATCTTTTGAACCTTTTTATGCCTTAAATGATAAATGTCACATTTGCCAACAAGCGTTCTCTTGTGGATATGTGGGTTTATGTTTGAATCTTTTTTTCCCCCTTGGATAGGCCTCAATAACTGGATGCTACCCTGTGGAGATGCAGTTCATGGCTGTGAGGAGGGAGTTTTTAGAAAATTTAAGCCTTTGTGCCTTTTTTAAATTTTTCTTTCTAGAACACCACAAGCAAACTATTGCTCACAGTAATTTAATTTTTCTGCACTGCAGGACACCTTGCTAGAAGTGTTGCATTTATTCAAAATTCAGTAAGGAAAACCACGTTGGGACATCTTTTTTATTATAAGATAATTACTTTTTCGTGACTTGTGTTTGGACCTATGACAAAAATCTAACCTGTTAAATGAGACCTGCTAATTGACTGAAAGCTTTATATTATGGTTATTGTAATTAAGTCTGGTTGAAGTATGGAAACCAAGGGATTTAAGATCAGTTTGAATCGTTTAGCAAAGACCCATCTTGTGTGTGATCAGCTCATGTTGCAGTCGCTCCGTCATCCATCTAGTTTGATGCTCATTTGATGTCATTGTTTTGAAACTTGAACTGAAATTTAAATGCCCTTTAATAAACACACACAAACATGCTGCTCTTTGCATTTTTGCTTTTCTGTGTGTGTGTGTATCCTGTCCCAAGCATTTGCAATATTTTCCTCTGTCGAACCTCATAAATATAAAGAAACAAACATAGTTAAGTAGAAACAAATATTTATAAACTCAAACGTAGTCTTAAATGCCATTTTCACATTTGTATGTGCAAAGTACAACAGGTGGCATGCTTTCTTTTTATTTTGCAGTTTCTACCACAGTTCTGACCGGTAAACCTCCTGACCGGAAGGTGGCGCTGTTTGAGTTTAGCGCCGCGTTTTCAACTTACCGCAGAACAGCTGCTGAAGCTTCCATTGAAAGCCGGAAGTTGTGGAGGTTTTTGTATGTAGTGGGGTGAGTGTTTGTGAAAGTTGACAAGATGGCAGAGGACGATAGTTATGAGTCGATGCTGTGTGTAAAGCCAGAGGTACATGTTTACCGTATCCCACCGCGGGCTTCTAACCGCGGATATCGGTAAGAAAGTTTCTGTACCGACGAATCTGGGGGGCAAAGTTGCTTAGCAAGCTAATTTATTAGCCATACATCCATTGTCGGACAAGAGAGCTGTCACGAATTTAAACGTTTTTAAAATATTTTTCTGATTCAGTTTGTCAGATTATATCTTTTTGTTAGTAGTTAGTTAAAGTTTAGGGAGAAATGTATGCGTAAACTTTTCAGGAAACCCATAGGCACCTGACTTATAAAGTTAGAAACACTATCTTATCTCTCGAACGGAAATAGGACACTTCTGAAGTTTTTTCTTCTTCTTGTGGCTCGCAAGTTTTTAATGTTTGCCCAAATTGGTACAAGAATTTAATATTTATATGAATTTCGTTAGGTTGAATTTCTTACATAAGTCAATTGAACTTTTTAAATTTTTTTGGTTTTTGAAAACAAACCTAACCATCTTCTTTTCAAGCTTTTTGAGTGATCATGACCTGCTTTACTGTGTATCAACATCTGGGTTTAAAAATGATTTTATCCTAAGAGCTTCTAAATAAAGTTTCATTATCTGAAACTTGTTTTWAAAAAGCTCCTCAGTTTGACTTTTCTCTGGAGTTTCCAGCTTTAAATGTGATCAGAAAACAAACATGAAATGCAAGTGAAAGCTTTGAGTTGAACTATTATCTTTAATAAACCTTTAAATGAGAGTTTTTATATAAAAAAAATTGTGTGGGCGAGGTCTATGAAACGTTTCCAGTCGTCGAGGACTTGATAATCATATGAAAGGATCCACATATGTGTGTATATTAAAGCTGTCTGTCTTGCTGGAGTGGAAACTCCAGTCAAGTAAATGGAAATAGTTTGAATAAATCATCATTTTAGAAGCTGTTTCAGATGTTATCTATATGAGATGTTTGGTTGTTTTTTTTTATCTGTTGCAGAAAAAGCGACACTCTCTGTGGTCTTGGTGGCAGATTTTAATTTCACTTCCCCATGATGTTTAAAACTACATTTGCTAAAACAACCACTGAGTCAAGTTCCAATAAATGTGTATTGACACTATTTTTTTTCCGTTTTGATCAGATTTTCCTGTTTGTTGGTTTGTTTTTAGTGCTGCTGACTGGAAGCTGGATGAACCTGCATGGAGTGGGAGGATGAAAATCACTGCCAAAGGCAAGATGGCCTTCATCAAGTTGGAGGACAAAAACACAGGTAAATAGTGTGATAGAAGAGGAGGACAGTGTTAGATCAATGAAAAAGAAACTTGAGCTTCACAATACAACATGTGAGGCATGAAGTCTGAAAGCTCGACAGCTTGCTTATTGGACAATGGTATGGTCCTCTTAATACTGAGGTGTTATATTTGTTATTTGATGCTTTTGTTGCACAAAAAACACAAGTTCTACTTTTTATTAATAAGATCAGCAGGTTTAATTAACTGTGATGTAAGTGTTTAATATGTTGCCTCACAACAAGATCACATGTTTGCTTCTGTGTTTCCCTTGGACTTTCCAGTTTTCTCCACAGACCAAATACAAGCAGGTCAGGTTAACTGGTAACTCTAAATCAGTGATTATCAATTACAGTCCTCGACGTCTGCAGCCCTGCATGTTTTACTTGTTTCTCTTCTCTAACACACCTGATTCAGTCAGTGAATTACTTCTTCCAAGTTCTGCAGAAGACTGATAATCATCTATTCATTCAAATCAGGTGTGTTGGAGCAGAGAAACAAGTAAAACATGCAGGGCTGRGGCCCTCGAGGACCAGGATTGATGATCCCTGCTCTAAATTGTCTCTAGGTGTGAATGATAGTGAGTTGTTTGTCTTGTTTGTTTCTCTGTGTCCCTGTGATGGACTTGCGACCTGTTCTGGGTGTCCCCCACCCCTCAGTGACTGCTTGAGATAAACACCAGCTCCTCACCACCCAGAAAGGAAAGGCAGGTACAGAAATGGATTAATTAAATGGTAGCAATATAAACAAACACTTTGCTACAATGAAGWTGAGAGGAAAGTTGTCAGAAACCTTTAAGTTATGCAAAAGTGTTTTATTACCTGTTACATTGGTCTTTATATGAACTCTGATTTGTCACATAATAATGTCCATTCACTCTTTCCGTCCACAGCAATTTGTTGAARTTCTTTGAGAAGCCAGAAACAAAGCAAGAAATCCTGTCATGTATTTTATAGAGCGGTTATGATTAATTCTTGCTCACAACAAGGCTGAACCAGTGTTATAGCTAAGTGTGTGTGTGTGTGTGTGTGTGTCGTTTTCTTTGCAGAATTTCAAAGCTTTTTCGCATTTGATTTTATAAACTGAAGGCGGTGACTTTGGCTGGTCTCAGTGAAAGTTGTCATAAAATTTAATTTGCTCAACAATCTTTTACACTGATGAAGACTCCTGTCAGAAAACATTAATACCTTTTGTTGGTCCTTTTCCACCACCTAGTTGTGGCATGAAGTGACCCGGAGGCCGTGTCGGGTGTGAATTCATTTATTTATTTTATTTATTTTGCAGGAGAGCTGTTTGCACAAGCTCCAGTTGAACAGTATCCAGGTTGTGTGGTTGAAGCAGTCACAGACTCCAGCAGGTACTTCGTCATCCGGATAGAAGACGGCAACGGTAAGGCYACACTAAAAACGACCTTTGAAACTGAACTCAAAACCTTTCAGCAGCTACAACCACCACTAAAGTCCCTGTCCCACTATGACGTTTTACACAACTTATGCCAACTTGTAAAAATTTAAAGACGTCTACATTGAAGATGGTATAAAAAAATCACCTCTCTTATACTGTAATAATAAAAACTGATCAAATATCTAACTTTTATTAATCATTTAGGCAAAAACAATTAWAAGTTGTCTAAATCGTTAGTGTGACAGGTTTTTTACCTTGCTAAGCTCTCCAGCTGCAACTTTCTGTGACAGACATCAAATAACAGAAATATAAGCTTGTAATTTGTATAAACAGCTGACACAAATGAGTAAATCGCAGATGAAGGATCTAGAGACCATGAAGGACTCTAATCATCTTTTTATTTTCTTTCTTCTTTTCAAGGACGCCACGCTTTTATCGGTTTGGGTTTTGCAGACCGTGGCGACTCATTTGACTTTAACGTTGCCTTACAAGATCATTTTAAGTAAGTCAGTGAGGATTTTGTGTTCTTTTTATTATACAGTGCACCTGTTTTACATTTTATGCATTAAAGCATGGGCTCTCAAATGTTTTGGGACTGGGGACCCCTTACAAAGGTGAAAAGTTTCCAGAGACCCCCTCATAAACCCTATGCTGTCAATGCAAAAATAATTTACTGTTATTTTAACCCCTAAATGCCACGGTAATTTTTTTTTTTTGTTTGGTTTGGTATGTTTGTTTTACTAGTGCATTATTCCCCATATGCATTTTTCAAAATAAAAACCAAATTAACAATTTATTGAAATATTTTGAGGACCCCCAAGACACGGCTCGCGGTGGGGGTCCTGGGTCCCCAGTTTGAGAACCTCTGCATTAAACCTGTAGAAGTTTTTATTACTGCCATTACTGGCATTTCATTCTCTTATTTTGACTGTTATTTTTAATTAAGTTAGGTTAGATTGCATGTAAGGGAATTTTATTTAAACCAGTTTGATGTTCGTTATGTAGAACCCTAATGCGACTCATGTAAGCTGATTTTAAGATGTTTGTTCTGATTGTGTCAAAGCTTTAAACATTTTGGGGGATTTTTTGCACAAAATGTTAGTTTATATTTTATTTCCTACATATTTCTAACGTTTTATTATTCTGTCAAACTCCAAAGGTGGGTGAAACAGGAAGGGGAGCTGGCGAAACTGGAAGCCTCTCAGAGCGCAGCACCTAAACTGGACCTGAGCTTCAAGGAGGGACAGACCATCAAGATCAGCCTCGGGGTGAGCGGGTCTCCTCCACGGAACARGTTCTAAATCGGTCTGTGGGGGGATTTGAACATTTAAAACTGGGCTTTTCACAGAACATTAAGAAGAAGGAGGCAGGTGGTGCCAAACCTCGACCCACGTCCGGTGGTCTGCTCCCTCCTCCCCCAGGAGCCAAGCCTGGAGGAGTTGTCCTGCCCCCTCCTGGAGGACAGCAGCCGGTCTCAGCTGCACAGATTAACACTGGTGATCCTCCCTTTATAATAAAATCTATTATTTAACATAATCCGAATTACTTTAAGGATTATAAATCTGACATTCTTCCTCTCCATGCTCAGCTCCTCTTCTAGACTTCGGCTCCCCGGTTCCGGTGGCCCAGCCTAGCTCAGACCTGTGGGGAGACTTCACGTCTGCAGGCTCCAAGTAAGTATGAACATCTGCGTGGGCTCGTTTCCATTCCTTCAGTTTCTCACTCCTTCATCACCCGCATCTCCTCCTCCTCCTCCTCAGCTCCAACAAAGACGCTGTCCAGTCAGGATGGGTTCAGTTCAGCTGAGTTCAAGAAAACAAACGTTCTCAGGTTCCAAACATTCCCTGGACACCACGATTGTGACAAAAACAAACAGAAAGAGGAGTTCACAGCTGCTTTTACGTCACAAACCAGATCAGCCTGCTGACCAACACTCTGGAGGATCAAACATGAATATTTTTACTGCTCTTCTTTTTCTGTTATGCAGTAGGATTCATTTTTTTACAGATTTTCTTTCTTTTTTTAAAAAACAAAACAAGGGAAAATTTGTCTCATTACACTAATTAGAATATTTCTCCACCTTAAATCAATTATACCTTGTTTTGCTTCTTTAGATTAGTCCTTCCACTGTTTTTCTTTGATTTTTTTTACAAGAAAATCATATTCTCTGTCCTACAAAGATCTCTACATCTAATGTTGCTCATCTCAAGCTTTTGTTTGTGGGAAATTGTCATGTAGCTGTATAACAGCATCATTGTTGGTTGATTTTTAGCTAGTCTTTTTGTTGTTTTTTTAGACCCTTAAAAGCTTTATCATCTTATAAGTTTTACATTAGGGCTCAAACCAGGATTTTCTGTAAAATCACTTTCGGGGAATAGATGATGCTCCTAGTTTTGCCTGTTTGTATTTTGTTGATGTGTTTTTGTT